CTTTCAACACCATGTTAAGCCCTTTATATTTATCCATCCAACCACTTGAGGGATATATATTCCATACCCACTTGAGCTAAGCACTGTTGTTTGTTCTGGTTCATGAATGCAAGCTCTCTGCCCTGATAGAACCTGCAATCTAATTAGGGAGAGAGAAACTATAAATAACGTATAATGTAATTAGGCTGCAGTAAGCAAAGCAGATTAAGAAAGTAGAAAGTGATGAAGGTAAAAGCAGATGAATCCCTTCATAAGGTGGTCAGGGAAGACCCCTGTGAAGAGGGGACACTTGGGCAGACTCTTGAAGGAAATAAGGGAGCAGGTCATGTCTCACCTTTGGGGGAGAATAAATTTCAGGCATTCGAAACTTAAGGAGCAGAAGCCCTGAACTGGCAGTATGTTTGATTTGTTTGAGAAACACAAAGAAGTTAACATGTTTGGAACAGAATGGTCAAGAAGACATGGGTATAAAATAACCTTTGAGACTAGGATCTTTAGGCTGTACTAAGGGTTGTTTTGTGTGGTGTTTTTTTTTAATTGTTTCCAAATTCAAGGGAAGCCACTGGAGAACTTTTAACATGCAATTAATATTTAAAAGCCTGTATTCCTGGAATATGGAAAAGAGACTGTAAGGTACAAAGGTGGCAAAGGAGACCAGAGAAGAAGCAAATACAGTAGTCCAAGCTGGAGAGAATAGAACACTGAACATTGGTGGCATTAATGGAGGTGGTGAGAAGTTAGTGGAATTTAGGATATATTTTGAAGATGAGATTCTTGGGATTTTCCAGTCAACTGTTTAAGGTGGCAGAGACAGAAAAACAATTTAAGGATGATGACTAATTTTTGTTCTGAACAAAGACAGGGAAGACTGGGGAAGAAATTTGGTTGAGAGACGAGGGAAGGGATTGGGTTTGGAAGAAGGCTTATAAATATATGAGAATAAAGAGTTCTGTCTTGTATATGCTCAGTTGCAGACTCCTATTGGGCATACAAATATATCCAAGTATCTAATAGATAGTTAGGTATATGAATCTGGAGCTCTGGAGGTCTGGAAGGAAGTCAAGGTTAAAGACTACTACTCTGGGCCTTCCTCCTATAGACGGTTTGTATGAGGAAGCAGAGAGTGATGGTAGATGGAGACAAGTGGAAGAGCTGTTTAAAGTAGGAAGAACACTAGGAGAGTGCAGTACTGCGGAAACCAGGTGAAGAAAGCGTTTCAAGAGAAAGAGATAGCCCAGCCAGTGTAGTTCAGCAAGTGAGCGTTGAGCCAGGAACCAAGGCCACCAGTTCAATTCCAGTCATGGCACATGCCAAGGTTGATCCCTTGTGGGGGGCATGTAGGAGGCAGCCGATCGATGATGTTTCTCTCTCATTGATGTTTCTATCTCTATCCCTCTCCCTTCCTCTCTCTCTAAAAAAAAAAAAAATCAATGAAACATATTTGTTTTTAAAAAAGAGAGAAAGAGATAATCAACCCTGTCCATGGCTTCTGAGACATTGAAGAAGATGAAAACAGAGAACTGACATTGAATTTAGAAAGACGGTGGTCACTGGTGACTTTGACATAAGAAGTCTCAACAGAAAGGTAGATATTGAAATGAAATCAAGGGCGAAAGGGTGGCAATGACTTGAAAGAGTCGCCGCAGATATTCTTTAGAATAAGAGTTACTGTAAGGACGAACAGAGAAACAGGGAGTAGCTAATCAGAGAGGAATGTGGAGGTGGGGAAAGCCATTTAGCCCCTTGGCATAAGTCAGAACTAAGGCTTTAGAGGAAAAACTTGCCTGGCGGATGACACACGGTTTTCTGAACAGGGCTATTCAGTAGCGGTAGAATGTGAACTGCCTGTGTAATTTTGTTTCCTAGTAGTCACATTTTTTTTCAAATATATCTTATTGATTTTAGAGAGAGGAAGGGAGAAGAAGAGATGGAAACATCAATGATGGAAAGAATCATTGATCGGCTGCTTCCTGCACGCCTCCCATGGGGGATCAGGCCCAAAACCCAGGCACATGCCCTGACCCGGAATGGAACTGTGACCTCCTGGTTCATGGGCCGATGCTGAACCACTGAGCCACACCAGCGAGGCAGTAGCCACATTTTTTAAGGTTGAAAAGAAACAAGTGAACTTTATTTTAATAATATATTCTATTTAAGCCAATACTTAATCCATATGAAATATTACTAAGATGGTTCACATTCTTTTCTCCGTACTAAACCTGTCTAGGTCAGGCCTGGCCACAGTTCAGGTGCTCCATGGCCACGGGGGGCAGGTTGAAATGTCATCGAACAGCATAGCTTTAGACTAAGGAATGCCAAGCGAGTGTCAGATCCACTCCTGTGGGCATTGTTATCCTCGAGTTTCAATATACATTGAACCTCTTTTGACGAGCATAAAATTGTGTCATAAACTTAAGTGGGATAACACTGTTTACTCAGATAAATATTACACCATTACCTTTTCTTTTTTTAACAAGTTACCCATAAATTGTCTTACATTTACAGTTCAGTAGAACCTTAACTCATGGTCCTATTTCTTCGTATCATCAAAGTCCTCTTTTTCATGTTGACCAGAGCTTAGTCCTCCAGCTCTCTCTTCTGATCGGAGCTTCACATTTCATCACCCAAGTGATAGGTCTAAAAGGCCACTTCGGTCACTGCCCAACAACCCAAAGGGGGAGGAGAAAATATAAAGCCCTTATTGATTAGACTCTTGTCTGGCGATCTCGTTTCATTTGCTTGCTCTCTTCCTTTTTGTCCTTTACAGTTTGCAAACTCCATGCGTTTCCTGGGTAAACGACGTGCTGTTCTGGCCTCCCCGGCTTGGAACGTGCTGTTCTTTCCATCTGAAACGATTTTCCCTTTCATCTGTCGGGGGAAGTGCTGCTCAGCAGCCAAGCCTCAATTTTCAGCCCAGTTCTGTTGAATAAATTGGCCACACGCTAGTTCCTTGAGGGTAGGGATCAAGGAATAGTTATCTAGTTATCTGGGCTTTGTTATCTTTGTGTCACCAGCATCTAGCACAGGGTCTGACAGTGAAATAAATACATGTGATATATTTGTTGACATAACCTAACTGTATGATACCTTTCGACTCCGTTGTAAATTACGAACAGGAAGAAATGTTTTAAGTCATTCCTCTATTTTATTATTACATTTCATTGAATTCTATTTTTACTGTTTTGGTTGCCGATGGTAAAACAGTGTCAGTGTTTTTAGTTTATTTCACTTGCAATACATTTCACTTCCCTGAACTACTGAGAGTGGAAGGCCTGATGGGAAGAGGCTCATTATTTCTGGAACACAAGCCACTAGATAAAAAAAAATAAATGTGAAAGGCGATAGGTCTCCAAATCCCACATCAGATTTTTGTGAATTTTCAGGGGAAAAAAATTATCTCAGGCCACGCTTCCCAAAGAATAAAATGATCAGATTTTAATTAAATATTAAATATTAAAATGAAGTGTTCAACTTATTCCACACAATTACCCGATTTGAATAGTTATGTGAAACAAACAGAAATAAAAGCCTCTGATAACTCGCATCATCTTTCCCAGGATAGCACAATTATTTGCTATATAAACAGTTATAACCAGACATAACAAGCTCTTTTATTTTAAGTGTTGGGTACCAGAATGAGGCTATTTCTTAAGGCTTGTAAAAATTCTAGTTTTACAGCTTCCCAGGAGAGCCAGGCATCTCTTGAGAAGAAGTGAGCAATAAAAAGTAATCAAAACAATCTCTCCTTTCCTCTGGCAACTCTGGAACCAATATAAATAGATCCTAGGAACATCCTTTAACCTGGGAACACCATTCATAACAGACGGGGGTGGGAGTCACAATCCTCTTTCCTGTTTCCTGCGGTCCTCTTGGCCTAGGGGGGCGTGGGGGGGAGGGGGAAGCCAGCCGGGACTATTTATGAAGGAAACAGCAATGAAGGAGAAAATTTGGGTATAAGATTAGATAGAATTAGGATGAAAAGTGAGGCTGGCTGGCTGATAGCACCCCTCAATACAATTCTATTTTGTCCACACTGGCCCCTGAACTTCTGAGTTTTCTTTGTGTGTTTTTGTTTATTTGTTTGTTTTGTTAATCCTCACCCTATCATATTTTTTCCATTGATTTTTAGAGAGAGTGTGGGGGCGGGGTAGGAGGGAGAGGGAGAGAGAGAAACATTGATGAGAGACCCATCAATTGGTACCTCTCATACATGCCTGGATCAGGGCCGGGGATTGAACCTGCAACCCAGGTACATGCCATTGACCAGGAATCGACCTCATGGCTCTTGGTTGTTCAGGCCGGTGCTCTAACCACTGAACACACCAGCCAGTGCTGAACTGTTTCTTACCACTTCCTGTTTCTGTGAATTCTCCTTACAGTTTCAGGCCTATTGAAACCCATGCTTTCGTGGCCTAACAAGCATCTCAGCACAGTAGGGACGAACATTTCTTTTAGACAATGATTTTTCACTTCACGGAAAGTTCTCATCATGCACAATATGGTCATGGAAACTGATCACATTCTCTCTCGATTTTTCTGGCTTTCCTACCCCTGACCTAGGGCTTCTGCTACTATGAAGGGGCAGGATTAGAAACACACAGTTTGTTCCAAGCTGTGAATTCCCCTCTTAGTCATAGTCAGTGTTTGGATGCCAGGTCTTGTTTACAAAGCACCTGGGTAAACACTTTGTCTGCCAGGGATCTTTTCTGTTTCTAAAGTTAATCCTCAAAACAGAAGGTTTTGCTCTTTTAAGCAAATTCTCCATTATGTAGAAAGGGTCTGGGGGCGAGAGTATATACACAGGATCCCAAAACACTGCACCTCCTTGGTTCTGGTTCTGAAATTCCCTGTTGAGCCGCTTAGTGGCTCAGTGCTGAGAGCGCTCGAGTGTAATGAATGTGATAGTAAACAGGCCGTCTGGCCACATGCATCAGCAAACCCCCCTTCCACAAGAGCACGCACAGGTTTATTTTAACACTTGGGTTTGGGTTTTTCCACAGCTATTAATATCACTCAGCCCGGGTTCAGTGCATGGATGCCTTCGGATACACTTCATTCCTGGCTTATTCGCGGATCCCAGACATCAGCTTCGATTACGGATTCCACTCGAAGTTTCAGCTAGCAAACAACCACTCGGCACTGCAAAATAACGACTTCTTCTTCACCGGGCAGAAGGGCCATGGTAAGATTAATTGAACCCTCCAGGACTTGCTTAGCTCCTTTAAGAAGACTTTGGAGATTCTTCATGGACACTCTAATTGGCTGTGGATAAAGGAGACATTTGCTTAGATGCAGCCTCCTCCTGTTTTCTGCTCCAAGCATGTTCCTTGTAGCCCCAGGCGTTCAGCAGTTCCCTGACCTTCTCTGCAACCTTGCTCACACCGGGGCTGCCTGTTATAATCAAGGGCAAGAATTCCCGCAGGCAAACAGGAGGGCGGAGAAGGTGACCCGGTCACATGAGAAGTGAGCTTATTGGCTTGTCCTTTCCTCTGATTGTGTCACATAGAAGGAGAGAAGGGAAAGTCTCTATAAGAACAGCCTTTGACCGTGTGTTGGGAAATGGGAATTGTTGCCATCAAAGAAAGCTATTTCAAATTAAAGGGCTGGCGTGCCTCCATGGTTGAGGGTTGACCTTTGAACCAAGAGGTCACGGTTCAATTCCCAATCAGGGCACATGCCCAGGTTTCGGGCTTGATCCCCAGTGTGGGGCGTGCGTGAGGAAGCTGATCAATGATTCTCTCTCATTATTGATGCTTCTACCTCTCTCTCCCTCTCTCTTCCTCTCTGAAATCAATGAAAATACATAACTTTTTAAATGAAGAAAGTTTTCGGCCTGTACCAAAGTACACCAGTGCCCTAGAATTGGTGGGAAATCACCTCGTAAGTTAAATTTGTCTGTCCTAAGTAGAAACCAGGTATGCACCTGTGAAGGTCAGGGAAAAGCACACACGTTTTACTCCCAAATAAACAACCAACTAGTTAGGCAATTAATCACTTACCTCCTCTGAGCTCAGTGTCCTCATCTGTGAAATGAACACATTACACTGGAGAGAGACCTTTCTGCCAACCACCGGCAGTTCTATGGTGCTGGGGCCAATAGCATTCTGTTCTTTCCAGCTCCCTCAGTGACTCTCCTCACACTGCACATTGGTTTCCATAGTAACACCCTCAGGAAAGGAGCCTGCCCCTGGGGAAGTATAATGGGCCAGCCCCCACCTCCTCCACTGGATGGGGGCACTTGATCATGGGAGGTGCTATTCATTCTATCTCCAAAATCTGTTCCTAACTGGTCTTCCTATGGCCTTTCCTGCCTGCAATCCATTCTCCAAGTTGCAGCAAGAATTACCTTGTTAAAAGACGTCTCATCATATGTGAACCCTGCTTAAAACCCAGCTGACTTTCCATTGTGCTCAGAATGAGATCCAAACCTTCTTGCCATGTTCTCGAAGGGCCTCACCTCCACTCTAACTCCACCAGGCCACTCCCACCATCTCCAGGCCCCTCCCCACAGATCTTTCCCAGGGCCTTGGTCACCTCGGGGACTTAGCACTCACTCCTCCCTCTGCCTGGATAGGAAATGGCCATCAGAGTGGTCGCGAGAGCAGGCTCTGGGGCCTGGCAGTGTAGACTTAAGTCCAGTTTCCACCACTTACAACTTACGTGTTGTCACTTAATGTCTCTGTGCCCCGGTTTCCTCATCTGTCACTTGGGCATAATAATGGTACATTCCCTGGTAGAGTTGTGAGGATTAACATAGTACATGCAAAACGCTTAAAATAGCCTGGAACTCCATGAACACAGTAGCCTGTATTTTCTTCAGGAGGCCTTCCCAGCCACCTTCACCAAAGTAGGTGTGATCCCACCCCACCCAAGTTATTCTCTACCTCACCTTCCTATTTATTTCCTGCAAGCCCTTACCTCAAGGTATAATTCCTTTATCCATTTTAGGTAGTTGTTTCTTGTCTGTCACCACCAGAGAGTGGGAGCTCCATGTGGACACAGACCAAGTTGTCCCCATTTGACTTTACATGCCCACACTTAGCCTGATGCATAATCAGTACTGAATGAATGGATAAGAGAACCACAATAAGTACAGATAACTGTAAAAAAAATTTCTCATAGAACAGATAGTTGTATGATATGTAAATAGGCAGTATGGTTGTACAAAGGTACGTACTTAAAAAGCAGCCTTTATTAGGGGCTCCAGGTCAGGTGCCATCCTTTCCATCAGGATGTCCCCGGAGGCTACCTGCCCCACCTCCTTTGGTCAATGCCCCTTCTTCTGAGTCCTGATAGCCTGCCCTGCACTTCGGGCCTGGACCCTCTGTGCCAGGCTGTGGTTGGCTAGATAGTTCTCCTCTTTTATAGAAACGGTGTCCCAGTTATCACTATTTCAACCACAAAGCTTCCCCCAGGTGGTTTTAGTAACTAATCTGTTGAATGGCTGCCAGAAGTCACAGAGGGAAGAGGGGAGAAAGAAGGAATTCCTACCCCTCACCCTTTAATCCTCACACACTTCAGCATGTTTATCAATTATATCCTTTTCATTACAAAAAAAAAAAAAAAAAGGAGCAAATAAAAAATTCAAAGGAGCATTACACCCGCTGGGCCCTTCTTATTTTAAAGCGTATCTTCTAAATCCCGAACGATTCGCAGAGGGAGAACCCAAGCAAAGCATCAACACTTGGTTCATGAAAATACTGCACCAAATAACTCTTCAGTACTCTGCTACTAAACACTCTCAAAATTCTCAAAAAATAAAATAAAATAAAACAATAGCTAATGTTTGGGCCACAATTTTTCTAAATTGTGGAATTTCACATATAACATTTCCTGGGTTTCTCTATTCATCTTATTTGTATGGATGGATAGGAAAGCTAATTCTGCACTTGGCATTTGTAGGTTGGCAGCATGGCTAAGTAAAGGCTAGATGAACAGGTAAATTGTGGAGCTCTAGTTTCTAATCAGTGAAAAGAAATCTGAAACATGCAATTCCACATTGTACCACCTGAGGGAGCCAGAACACCAGCTAAAAAAATGCAAATAGCACTAACCTGATTTTTAAGGCAATGCTTCTCCAAGTAGGACCACCTCATGGCTGTATCAGAGTCACGTGGGGGTGTTTGTTAAAAGGCTAATTCCCAGGCCCTCTTGAATTAAATAATAGAATGTTATCAAGCACCTTTGGTACTTTTTACACGACTAATATTTGAGAGCACCCTCTCAAAACCTTTAGGGACTATCTAAATTAGACCATGTGTGGGGATGGAATATGGAATATGTAGGAATGTAATATGTAGGAATGATGTGTCCACTTGTGTATCACAAAGTTATTCATTCAAGAGATACATATTTCTCTAAAATACTTAATGATTAATATTAACCACACGATTTGAAATTATCTATTCTACATAAAAAACTATGATCCAAATCAGTTTGTTTTTCATGGTGGTAATAGCTCCACATTTAGGAGTTATTCTTTTCTTTTTCATTTTTTTTTTGTTATTGTTAATCCTCACCCAACGATATTCTTTCTATTGAATTTTTAGAGAGAGTGGAAAGAAGAGAGAGGGGGTGGAGAGAGAGAGAGAGAGAGAAACATCGATATGATAGAGACACATTAATTGGTTGCCTCCCACACGCACCGCGTCAGGGTCTGGGGATGAACTGCAACCCAGGTATGTGCCAGGAATTGAACCCACAACACTTTGGTGCACGGGCAGGTGCTCTAACCAGTGAGCAAACCGGCCAGAGCTAGGTGTTATTTTTTTTTTTTTAGTTGTTATTCTTGTTTAGTAGCATCAATCTCTGATCTGCATACTGGTTGTTACTATTAAAATTACCTTTCCATATGCTGCCTTTACCTTCCTTAGGTTAGAAGATGCACAAAGCCACAGAGTTTCTATAATAACTTGAAATGTAAGCCAACCTCTAATTCTGACATGTCTACATAAGAAGGCGAGGGACCTTCATACCCCGGCACTGATTATACTCTTCCCTGAGTCTCCCTAAGCTGCTCACCAATTTTTTCAGGCTTTATTCTCATTGAACTCTCTGGACAAATTACCCTTTCAAACAATTCAGCTTGAAAATCTCTCTTGACTTGTGATTGTAACCTAACCCAATCCTCTTCCTGTGCTCCTGCAGTCATATTTGGTATTTCTTTCATTATCTCTTCTTCCTTTCCTTCCCCCACACCCTTATATTGTATGTCCTGTGGTTTATTCTTCTAGAAATCACCTGCATGTCCAGCAGTTCACAGCTGAATACGTACATTGGTGTCCCCTCCTGTGTCCCTCCTTTGGGACTGGCGTAAAGGTTCTGCTCCGGCCAGAAACCCAGGAGGCACCTGGATATCCATCTCCCTTTCACTCACTTGACAACTACTTCCTGGGAACCTAGATGAGACATTCTTCAAGGTGGTGGAGAGACAGTTATGACCAAGATAGGCAAGGTTCTTGTCTCTCTCCATGTTATCCCCTATGTTCTACCAAATGCCATTGCCTGTCCATTTTACCTCCCCATGACTTGTTTTTTATCTTCTCTTTCTATCGTCTTTCTTCTCCTCATTGCCTCCAGCTTCTCTGCAATAGCCTCCATTCCATTCCCTCTGCCCAGTCATTTTTTGCTCCAGGGGGCCTAACATACAAGTGCAAACATTTCTTGCCCAATCAACATGCTTGATCATAACCTACACCCAAAATCTTCTGCATAATTACACAGAGGTTTACCCATCCCATTAGTACCATCTGTGTTCCTTCCATCCACTCTCCACTCAGCAGGATTCGTGCACGTGTGTGTTCTGGGTCGTGTGGCTATGTCCTTGCTTCTGTGCCTTTGCACGGGCTGTTCCATCCTCCTGAGCGAGGCACCCTTCACTGTGTGCCTCCAAAACATGTCTGTCCCGTAAAGCCTCAGCTGAAAAGATCATTCTTCTTTGAAGTCTTTAACACTTCCAAGAACATTTAAGACTTAATCTCACTGCAGTTGGCTGGTAACAATTACAATGTTTTACTATAACTGTTGGGACCTCTTTGAGAATTGTACCATGGCTTTTCTTTCTTATATCAATAGTGGCTGCCACATATAGGCAACTCATTGCAGTTTTTGAAAGGTGTAATGCCAAAATAAAGCCTATGGTCCCCATCAGACTAAAACTTACAATCAATTTAGGAAGGCACA